AGGCTCCCCAGCCACCTCAGTAAGACAAAGAGTCTTTGGCTGAGCATCTCCCGTTTCCCATCCCATTATCTGTTTTCTAAAACTCAATAATTGAACTGTTCCATTGGAATACATCATCTGGCCCGCTATCACAAAACCCCATTGAATAAACTTCTCTCCCCGACTATTGTGCTTGAGCGTGACATGTTTTTTTTTTTGTTTTTTTTCATTCTCCCCTCCTCCCTATATCAGATAGATAGGCCGTATTACTAGCGTGGTATTTGTCCAGGCGCAAATAATGACTGCAATTTGCTGCTATTTGGTGTCCTGTAAGAGGTCTGTGCCTGGTAATGGTAGCATTATAATAGTTATCAGACACAGGTTACTATTACCATGCTATGAATCTGCCATAAGCCATTGTGTCCGACTGTACATTAGCGACACAGAAGGAGTGTGAGGAAGAAACGCGTGGATTACGAGCAGATATGCTGTTTATATGAAAGCTCTCGTGGGGTGTAGCTTAAAATAGTATCACATGAGAAAAAAAAAATGAAAGTGTACAATACTGCTTCAACAAAAAAAAGACACCAGATGGCCGTGTGTAGTATACGCTGCATAGGTTTATTTAGCTGCTCATTAAAGGAAATATCAGTCAATCACGTGGCAGAAACTCAGTTCATTAAGGAACAGAGAGATGGTCAGTGGAAACCGCAGATGTTCAAACCGAGCGTAAGAATGGAGACGAAAGGCATCTTTAAAGTAGTGTTTCACAAACTTGCTGGTGTAGCCGTCTCTAGGGTTTACAGAGAATGCTAGATTAAAGACAAAAGCATGTTGTGTCATGGCAACGCTCTGGGAAACGTGACTTGTTGATGGCAGAGGTAAGAGACGGATGGCCAAACTGGTTCCAGCGCATCTCAGATTGTTTGACTGCACTGTCAAATGGCCTTACAGTCACCAGATCCCAATCCAATAGAGCGCCTTCGTAATGTGGTAGAATGGGAGAATCAGATCATGAAGTTAGTGCCCAACAGGTCTGCAGCATCTGTTGACATGATATCAGATTTTTGATAATCCTTGTGTTTCCCAACAGCCCTAACCTGGTGACTTACAGGGCTGAGTCTTTGTAAGAACCTTCTCGTAATGCATTGAATTAAATGCTAGCATCAGCATTCTAACACGCTAACAGGCTGATGTTTTGCATGTTTAATGTTCACCGCACCTCACGTTACAAAAGCCGCCCATTCACTGTATTAATTGATGGCTGCCCAGTTACTTCCCCTCAATGCAAAAGTCTTGGTTTCATAATTGACCGTACGCTCTCCTTTTTCATTTTTCACCCACTGCCTAGTTTCACCTTTGCAATATTTCTCGACTTTGTTCTTCTCGCTGTCAGCGCAGCACTAAAGTTCTTTTTTTTATGGCTCTGTCACTTCTCACATTGATTATTCCGCCACCATTGTCTCTTGTATTTCCAATAAACCTCTCCATAGGCTCCAATTCAATCAAAATTGTCATTTTTGTTTAGTATCTGCTGACGCTAAGCCCCAGTCTATTAACCTGTTCCTCGGTAGTGCACACTTTCCAGTGCTGTAGATTACCTCTTACTGTTCAGATCAGGTGTGTGTTGGCAGGCAGAGGGTATTGTGGTGGGTTCACCATGACTTCTGTAACGGTTAATGACCTCCGACCAGCCAACTTACTTTACATCAATCCAGGGTCAACAAGGATCACATTCCTGTAACCCAGTGGCATATCTAACAGTCGTCTTTACAGCCTGTATCAAGTGTCTGTGACTTAAAATAAGAATATCAGCACAGATCAAATGTCCAGTGTACTTAATTTGTAATAGAAATGAATCCATTATTGATGAATAATCTCAGCAGGTTAAGATTTAAGTAGCACTAAATCAAAAAACACAATATTCCTTCGTTTAAATAACAAAGTTGTTGACATGTTATTGGGTTCTTTGTTAAAAGTAGCTTTTTGTCTTTACCTTTCCTTTTTCTTTATTTAATTTTGCCACAAATTAAGTTAAAAAATCATTGATTGGACGTAGAGTTTTGATGCAGATTCAGACTTTCTCACTCAGCAGCCACAGCTGAAGCTCTGCAGCTAAGCGTCAGAGGATGCCTCATGCATTGAGAGTCACGAGTCATGTGACTGAGGTTATGCAGTGGAAGCAGTTGTATACAGAGCAACAGAGAAAGTGATGGACATTAGCTTTAAAAAAATGCGTAAAGGCGTCCAATCCGTAGCTAAAGCAGTGATTGGATGGAAAACAACAAGATAGTGTTTAAAGTATACATTAAAACCAACATATATGCATTCAGCCCTGATCAATACGCAGCAGGTGTCAAACATCAGACATGAAAAGAGGATGATTTAATGTTTAAAGTTTGATAAGTCCAAAAAAAAAAGAGAAACGGTGCAATGATGGTAGAGTTTCCTCTTTGAAGGTTTCTACACTGCTGCGCCTGCAGCTGCCATTAGAATTCACCCTCACCACCTTCCAGCTCACCTGGTGTGCCTCCTGCCTCTGCAGTGTTATTGATGTCGTACTTCACCTAACTGAGGCAGCTGGAGGTGTGTGTGCGTGTGCGTGCGCGTCCTCATGCGTGTGAACGTGTCTTGGGTGGTCAGTGATGTATTTAAGAATTTAACAACTGCCCCAGAAAACTTGTCTCAAACTCTCAATTTGGTCCAAATGGTAACTTTCTCACTGGTGTGTGTGTGTGTGTGTGTGTGTGTGTGTGTGTGTGTGTGCTTGTGTATGTGTTTGCCTGAGGCGGTTTCCTGTCTGCCAATCCACCTGTCACTGACTAACAGCATCCAGCAAGTTGAGATAAAACATATGGATGCTGATACACTGGAGATTTTGGATTTTTTTTTTTTTTGAGCGAGCAGATTAAACCTGAGCATGCACAGGTATGATTAAAGCGTTTCAAAAGGTTCTCTTAGGGGATAATTACTTGACTTTAGAGTATTCCACAACCTGGGTGAAATTCAAGGTAACTTGTGCTTCCTGATAATCTTGCAAACAGACAGCAGATGGTGAATGTGGTGTCGTAGGCAGTAGCACACAACATGTCTGTTTAATTATATCTGCAAAGGCAACTATCTGTGGATGTTTTAATGATCGTTTCTGTCTCCTCTAATGTTCTGACACCTCTTCATTTGCACTTTGAGAGACGGGTAAATTTGGACAATTTTGTTTGATGTCCCTTTTGATATGCGGGTTGCCCGGTTTCAACGGAGAGATCATTAAAGTTTCATCTTACCTCAGTCGTGCAGACACACAGATGGCAGCTGGTAGAGATTTAGCGGACAAAAGGAGTAATCCTCGATGTTTATCTTAATGGTGTTAAGTACAATAGCATATTCTTTTGCAAAGGAATTCACAGGCTCTCTCCTCGTACGCTCGGATGAGGGCTCATGCAGGAATCCGTCAGCCGTATGTACGATTAGCTCTAACAAAATGTGAATGAAGGTCAGGTTTTTTTCTTGTTGCTCACGTTTTGTTTTAGTTCTGCAGCTGCTTTATTTTGGAGATCCAAAGTTCTTCATCGTAGAAAGGTTATTTAAAAAAAGCCTATTTACATCCAATTAAAGTTGAGGACTGATGAGACTGAATGTGTGGCAGTGACAGGATATCACTGTATGAAATGTCCTACAGGTTTATTCCACCAACTTTTGCATCCATTCATTTAAGGGACCACTTGAGGCAAAAGGTATATGAAGTTTTTCATCCTGAATTTGGGCAACGCTCCAATAATGCAGCTTTAACTTTTCTTTTCTTTTCTTTGTGCTCTGCTCATCTCACTCTGCAAATTCCACTCAAGCAGCAACTTCAAGGCTTAAAAATGAAGCCTGCCAAAAAACTGCAGTTCTTCAAATGGCCACTTGAGGCTGGCTTCAAAAGCGAGTCGATCCCCATAGACCCCCCATGTTAAAAGGCCCGACTTTACATCAGAAATAAACATGTTCGCAGCCTGGTACGGTATGCTGTTTTGGTCTTGACAACTAATTTCATCATTCATTAAAACGCTGCAAGGGGTGAATGTTTACATAACTCACCGGTTTAAATAGTTTTAAAGCTTAAAGGTATGCATATTTTTAAATTATGCAGCCAGAAGTTCAAACTCCACGCCGTGCAAGCAGTAAAGCTTTCACTCAAAATCAGAAATGTCCACCTGATTGTGGTCGTAGAACAACTAGATGACCACCAAAATCACTCTTCAGCAATCCATCCAGTAGTTGCTGAGATATTTTAGACGACTGCTCCACCAACAAACATGGTAATCAGTGGAGCCGTGATGCCGACGTTACTAAACTCTGTGAGCTAAAGTCCGAATAACTCTTGTGTCATCACAGGCTGTGTGTGGATATGCCCTCTAATCTGAACTGATGCATACAGTCTCTGACATCTTGCAGTTTTGAGTCAGTTACAACAATCCTTTAACACCCAACAAGGTAAAAAAAAATATGATCCGTGTATAAAAAACACACACACAAATTGTTTGTGTTGTCAGTATCACTGGAGGACTGCGGGCAGTACACAGTATATTACCGAGATAAGTTCGTCAGAGGGTGTGTGTTTACATGTTTGTAAAGCCCTACTTTCCCCCCGTAGCGAGCCTCATATGCAGCAGTGTGTAGTTTCAAGCAGCACCTTCAGAGCTGTTTATCTCCGATAGTCACAGTGGGCTCGTTCCTTTAATCTCGTGTTCCAGACGCAGGACACCTCCGCTAGATCCTGTTTACACCAGGCCTATATGGTATTAGCTATTTGAATGTGGTGTAAACAGGGTTTATGTGCAACATTAACCAGGTGTGTGTGTGTGTGTGTGTTTGTGTGTTTTTTCCAGGTCACCCGTGTGCCGGTCGAGAGCTGTGAGCAGTACACGTCATGCGGAGCCTGTCTGGGGTCCGGAGACCCTCACTGTGGCTGGTGTGTGCTGCACAACGTGTAAGTGCACAAACTGTTCATTGATCATACAGTGTTTTCAGTGATTAAGTGGGTGTTCTGCAGTTAATGACAGTCTGTCAGTGAGTTGTGAGTTTTTTTCCTGTTTCTTTGTTATGTTATGTGGACATGTAGGTCTGTTTGCAAGAAATACCACCTTATGTAAACGCTGTTCTATTCCTTATATCTTTTTTGAATGACAATATATAAAAATAATTGCGCTCAGAAGCCCTCCCTGAACCATTTATTGACTACTAATGCTCATTAACCCTCTGAACTCGGAGCAGTTGATGCTCCCGTCACATTTTTACTCACTGTGGGCTCATTTTACACTCTAAATGGTAAATGCTCTGCACTTATATCACGCCTTTCTACCTTAGTGGCACTCGAAGCTCTTTACAGTGTTTTCTCATTCACCCATTTACACACACATTCCTACACCGATGGCAATAGAGCTGCCATGGAAGCCTGCTGTTGGGAGCAACTTCGGGTTCAGTGTCTTGCCCAAGGACACGTTCACTCCGAGTCCTGCACCTCTGTAGAAACAATCATAGCAAGAAGTAGAGAGAAGTCAACAATGTTTTGTGTGCAGTTTAACAAAGTTATCATGGTTATATATAAAAACAAACCTAAAGGGGAATTTCTTTAATTATCGATTTTGCAAAAAATGACAAACAAAATGCACGACATTTTCCAAGTGCCTACATGTGTGACTAGTACTGGAAACAAGAATGGCAACGCTACACATTTTACTACTTACATATATTTTAANATTTGTCTCCGTACTTATACTGATCTGCGTAAACACAGCCTGCAGTTCAGTCAAAAAGCCGCTGCATTTTCATCATGCAACTGCTGCTGGTTGGTCTCAGCTGAGTAATTTGTTGCTTCTCAGTTGTGTGAGGAGGAGGACTGTATGGTCTAAAGTTCATGAAGCCCAGCTTGACTAACTTTTCCCCGTAGCTTTCCAATGTCCACATTGCATGCCTTGCTGGGTGTACTCCAACGATAAAATCCAGCTGACACCAAGTTGCGGTTTAAACAGGATTCTTTAGTTCACAAAAATAAAATTTACAGACGGAAACATAAAGCAAAACGAGGATACAAAGTGTGTGCAGTCAAAAAACTGTTTGGCTCCATGCCATCATTCATTTCCCAGGAGTCCTTGCAAATTTAGGGGACCCTAATATAGTGAGCCAAAATATCAAAAACAAATCAATAAACCAAAACACCACACTAACACAGAATTCAAATATCCAAAAATATGATTAACAACATTTAACCAAATAACAGATAAATTTAGCAAAATAAAAATGTTAATCATAATCTATATCAAAGTTACTGTAGAACAAAAAATCAAAACCAAATAGAAATAATCGTGGTAAAATAAGAACCAAATCCAGAACCAAAGAAATAGATTTAGGCTCCTACAAGGACATTGTTGTTTTTTTTTTTTAATGAGACATGTAGAGAGAGAGAGAGATTTTGATGAACTGTCATGATCTTAGATGTGGTTCCCATTTTTGATGAAACTAAAATCCATCCATGATTAGTTCAGTGACCATTGGAAGATTGGAAAAAGCCAAAACTGAGGCTCCATCCTGGGACTTGCTGATCAAACACAAGACCTACATGCTCAGATTTAACTATTTTGTACAGGGTGGCTGATGGCAAAGGCTTTTATAGCTCCTGCAAATGCAACACTTTGAAGAGTTTCTCCTCAAAGACATTCCTGGTATTGCACTCTTTTGTACATATGGGGAAAGAAAAAAAAAAGAGAGAAAACTGGCAGAAAATTTCCAAACTTGCCTACTTTCTCACCTCTGCACAGCTGGCCAATGGCTGCATGAAGTGGCCGTAATTCATGAATTGATGGAAAAAAAAACTGTTGGACACAGCAGCACCCCCTCCTCCTCCAAATTTCAACATCAGAAAGGTTGAGGGGGTTCAGTGCTATTCATCAGTTTAAAAAGCTTGAAGCGAACTGACCCTTTCACAATCCAATCAGCATCAATTTCCATTTCATTTTCCGAGGATCAAATTGGTGCTCAAGACGCTGGCCTTTTCTCTTCGGTAGCCACGTTCCATAAACCGGTTCTAATTCAGTCAGAAACACTTGAGTTAAGGAATTGACCATTTATAGCTAATTATATAGTTAAAATTAGCGGGAAAAGGTTCTGTTCTCCGAGGGAGCTCTCGAAGAATCCAACGAGCAATGAGGGTTCTGCTGGGAGATCTAATTCTCCTTCACCAATATGTGCAGTAATTAGACATTAGGGCTTAATTTAAGTCAATAATACCAAATGTTCAGCACATAAGGAACAAAAAAAAAGTTGGTGCGAAGAAAGCTTTGGCGCCAAATGGCATTGACAGGAAGGCCGTGTCACAGTAATAGTGGGAAGTGTCGGGTCATAAAGGCCACCGTGTACAGCGGCGCTAATATGATTGGAAATCTCTCGTCAGCTGGTAGCCAAGCAGTTGATGAATGAGCCGCTGATTGTGGAGCACGAGTGAGCAGCTGCTGCTATTCAGCTAATGCAAGTGCAGCGTCAGTGCTCTGCCTAAACTAATGCCATGCTGTATTTGTTTTTACACTCTGCTGTATTGGACTTTATGTTTCACTGTTACGCCACACCAGGGTTTCTTTTACTGGTCATAATGGTCAACAGCGTTTAGAGTCGTTTGTCGATGCTCCTAAATTCTGGGAAACCATTATGCTCATTTAGATTATTGCCAACCCTGGTTACTACTACTGTTAGGACATGTACATATTCTGGGTTTTTAGAAAGACACTGGTCACACTCTGCTGAACTTGTGGGCGTCATGTCACCATTTTGTCATGTGCAGCTTCCTCGGTTATGTTTTAATTTCCATGCATACATGCACCCACTTATAAACACTCGGTCTGCCGGAAACATCCT